TACTGAGTCACTGTGCCCCAGAGCCTCATGCTGCTAATGTACAGATGTAAACATACTGCTGCTAATGTACAGATGTAAACATACTGCTGCTAATGTACAGATGTAAACATACTGCTGCTAATGTACAGATGTAAACATACTGCTGCTAACATGTACAGATTCTAACATATAACTACATATTGTTGTGCTGCTAACACGTACAGAGCAGTCGCATTCTCTTGCTGCTCCTCGCTTGCTGCTTTTTTATCTCCTTTAATCATTTTTGCTTACATTTTTATTCCACAAAACACGGATTACTCCTTTTTACAAACTTCAACACAAGACTGGTGGAATTTACCTAACTTACAGCATGTCGGGAGGACGGGAAAATAGAACAAAACTTTGCGACGGCTGTTTTTCACTCAAACAGGAGCTAAAACTTCTTCAAGACCGAATGTTTGTGCTTGAATCAGAATTGGGGCTGAACACAACAATACCAGTGAAAGGAAATGGACCACATGGACAAAACGTAAGTTATGATGACGCTATTTCATTTCCCAAAATCAACAGAGACAATTGTTGGAACACATATGGTGCCAAGCCCAAACAAGGCAAAGCTAATGATAACAAGAGTGTCATAATGCCACAGCAAAAATCTTTAATTACAAGAAACCGCTTTTCACCACTTTTGGAAGATGAATCAGCAGTAGTCTCTCAGTCCCAGTCTCAGTCTCAGTCAAGGTCAAATGCAGCTGAGTCGCTCTTTATCGGGGATTCGGCGATAAGAAATGTAAATATGCGTAATCTCAAGGTTCACTCAGTACACTCTGCCAAAGTGGATGAGATAAGGCGGTTGGCTCCGAGGCTTCTGTCTGAGACCGGCGGGGTAAAAAGATTGTTGATCCACGTGGGGGCAGTAGACGTCTATGACAACACAAGTGAAAAGTTGAAACGGGATTACTCTCTATTATTGGACGACCTTGCTAAAATGGACACAAAAATCGTTATCAGTGGCCCACTACCAAATGTGGACGGGAAGCAAATGAAATTCAGTCGTCTGTATCAGCTAAATACTTTCCTACTCAACGAATGTTCACGCAGAGGACTTGCCTTCATTGAGAATTTTAATCTGTTCTGGAATAGGCATGAGCTTTTTGAAGGGAAAGGGCCACATCTGAACACTTACGGAGTAAAAGTGCTGATGGATAACCTTTCTTTTGCCCTGAGACCTCAGCCTGCGCAGCGCGTGCAGCCATCAAAAGGGAGGAAGCCGACTCCAAAAGTCTCTGCACCTCCACCACCTCGAAGGATCTCAACACCACCACCACCTCGAAGGATCTCAACACCTCCACCACCTCGAAGGATCTCAACACCACCACCACCTCAAAGGATCTCAACACCACAACCACCTCGAAGGATCTCAACACCTCCACTGTCATCAGAAGCAGCTGCATCATCACCAGCAGCAGCTGCATCATCACCAGCAGCAGCTGCATCATCACCAGCAGCAGCTGCATCATTACCAGCAGCAGCTGCTCATCATCATCATCACCAGCAGCAGCTGCATCATCACCAGTAGCAGCACCAGCAGCACGACCACCACCACCATCCTCATCCCCAGCCTGCTCCAAAGCAGCCACGCCTTCTTCATCTACAGCGCCTCTGAAGCCCCAATCCTCACCCCAGCCTACAGCAGACAGGCCTGTGCTGGGGTTTCCTCAACCACCTGCCCCTCCATTAAAGACTCCCTCGCCACCTCCCATGGACCTGTCTTGGGTCCCCCCTGCCACGTCCACTCCATCAAGAGAGAATGGGGACACCTCCCTTTGTTTTTCATCCCCGCCTTCACTGTTAGACCTACCTGAACACTCTGCAGGGCTAATAAAATCGGCGATGAAGACTATTCCTCTCACACCCATATTAGCTCGATCTAGAGTCCTGTCCAACATTCTAAACCACTCCCCATATGTACCTCCAAAACCACCTAGGGTTTCCAATTCACCTACAAAAACCACCTCAGCCAGTCCCTCCCCTAACCTCATGACCATTCCACCCCCACTTCCCCCTCGTTCAACATCCAAAACCTCTGCCTCAGCCCACTCCGGCCCTAACCCATCACCTAAAACCCCTCCACCTCCCTGCCCCCCTCGTTCAACACCCAAAAGCCACCCACCTCTCCATCCTCCTCCCCCGCCTTCCCCTACCCCTCTTTTCTCTAAACACTAGGATGCACAGGGTCTCTGCTTCGCAGCCACTGGCAGTCTAGTTAGAGGAGAGACCCGGCTGGGGCCCTGTCATGAAGCCACCTGTGCCATTCCCTTAGTGATAACACAAAGAATACATTACAGAAAAACATCTGGAGTTAATCAGTCTAATCTGGAAAATCTAATTCTTGTTCCGTGTAAGAATCAGCCGACCGCAACCGCTGATACTGAAACTTTGAAACTTGCTACGCTTAATGTCAGATCTCTTTGTAACAAGTCTTTTTTAATCAATAATTTTATTTCTTCTCATAATCTTGATCTTATGTTCATGGCTGAAACTTGGCTTGACCAAAATTCAGAAAATGCAGTTTTAATAGAAGCATCACCACCAAATTTCAAGTTTGAATCTGAAATACGGGAAAACAAAAAAGGAGGAGGCTTAGCTGCCATTTTTAGAGACCACTTTGTCTCCCATAGAATGTCTCTTGGGAAGTTTTCGTCATTTGAATATGTGTCTTTTAAAATACAACAAAAACAATCTCCTCCAATACTCTTCGTTGTCCTATACAAGCCACCGCAGTCATGTCACAGTTTTATTGATCATTTTACCGAGTTGCTTTCAGTTGTATGCACAGATTTTGATAGTTTGGTTATTACAGGTGATTTTAATATTCATGTGGATAATGTTGATGACAGAAATGCAAATGAGCTGAGTTCTGTACTTGAATCCTTTGATCTCACTCAGCACGTAAGTGGCCCCACCCACAGCAGAGGGCACACTCTAGATCTGTTAGTTACAAAGGGGGTGATTATTTCAAATGTAAACGTGGTCGATGTTGCTCTTTCGGATCATTTCTGTGTTTTTTTTGACATGTGTTTCACTAACAAACCACCAGTGGACTCTGCAACTGTTCGAAGAAGGCGCATAAATGAAAATACGAGTGAACTATTTATGGAAATGATAAACTTTGAGAATGCATCGTATTCTACTGTAGATGAACTGTTTAACTCTGTCACCTCTAGTGTTTTGAATGTTCTGGATACCGTTGCCCCTGTGAAGGTTAAAATAGTGAAAAATAAGCAGAAGGCGCCGTGGGCTAAAGCAGACTCGGTCAGGGCACAAAAGAGAAAGTGCCGGAGGGCCGAGCGGAAGTGGCGCAAGTCCAACCTCCAGGTAGATTACGAGATCTTCAAAGATAAGTTGTGCGAGTTTAACCGGGTGCTACGTAGTACGAGAGAAAGGTATTTTTCTGAAATGATTGAAGGCTGCAGCAACAATCTGCGTGTTCTGTTCTCAACAGTTAATAGATTAACAAACCCCCCTGTTCAAATGCCATTAGAGCTTACTTCCAAACGTAAATGCAATGAGTTTGCTAATTTTTTCAATGACAAGGTTCAAGGCATCAAAAGCGCCATTGTCTCCAATCCACAGATAACCATCCAACAGCCAGAAAGGCTCTCTGAGCTAACTCACTTGTGATTTTTCCAGATTAGAACTGATTATCTGAAAACAGATGTTTTTCTGTATGGTTATCTTTGTGTTATCACTAAGGATTGGAAACAGTGGCTTCAATGAACAGGGCCCCAGCCGGGTCCTCTCCTCTATCTAGACTTGCCAGTGGCTGCGAAGCAGAGACCCTGGTGCGTCCTAGTGTTTAGAGAAAAGAGGGGAAGGGGAAGGCGGGGAAAGGAGGAGGAGATGGTGGCTTTTGGGTGTTGAACGAGGGAGCAGGGAGGTGGAGGGGTTTTTGTGAGGGGTTAGGCGGGGTGGAGGGGTTTTTTGTGATGGTTAGGCGGGGTGGGCGAGGAACGAGGGGAAGTGGGGGTGGAAAGGTCATGAGGTTCGGGGAGGGACTGGCTGAGGTGTTTTTGTAGGTGAATTGGTACACCCTAGTTGTTTTCGGAGGTACTTATGGGGAGTGGTTTTAGTAGTTGGCCAGGACAAGCTAATATGAGTGTGAGAGGAATAGTCTTCATCGCCGATTTTATTAGCACTGCAGAGAGTTCAGGTAGGATCTAACGTGAAGGCGGGGATGAAAACAAAGGACGCGTCCCCCATTCTCTCTTGATGGAGTGGACCGTGGCAGGGGAGGACCCAAGACAGGTCCATGGGAGTGGCGAGGAGTCTGTTGATGGAGGGGCAGGTGGTTTGAGCAAACCCCTACAGCACAGGCCCGTCTTGCTGTAGCCTGGGGCGAGATGGGGGCCTTCATAGGCAGCGGTAAGATGAAGAGGCGTGACTGCTTTCAGACAGGCTGGGGATGAGGATGTTGGTGGTGGTGGTCGCCGTTGCTGCTGCAACATGTATTTCATGTATACATACAGCCTATATATTATACAAGTGTTTTATTAAGATTGCTGAAAGTTTTAGAGATTTTACCATGGGGTGGGTTGGGTCATTTATCTAGTGCGGTCTGGTCACCACACACACACAGACACACACACACAGGCACACACACACACACACACACACCCACACACACACACACTCACACACACACACACAACAGATAACAAACAGACACACACGCACACACACCTGAACCCCAGACGAGCCACAAAGTTCTGGTCGTTGCCTCCAGGGGCGAACTCTCAGAACACGTGCTCCGACCCCCAGAACGGAGACACACAACCAGAAAGTTTCTGAGCTCGCTCCCTCATCACAGGAGAAGGGGCACTCACTGAAGACCTCTGGGGGAGGCAGAGGAGAGGGGAGGAAGAGGGAGAGGTTATAGAATGGGTTAGATGGGGTGACGGTGAAGGTCCGGGTTAAAGAGAAGACAGAAGCAACAATGAGCTAAAGCAGATGTTCCAAAGATGTCTTCACCCCTACTTTTCCCAGTGGCCTTACCCACCTCTCCCTCCTCCGTGTCCTCAACCCCCTCCTTCTCCTTCCTCCCCAGTGGTCCTCACCCCTCCTATCCCTCCCACATGGTCCTCACCCCTCCTCTCCTTCTCCCAGGGTCATCACCAGGTCCTAACCCCTCTCGCCCTGTTGGTCCTCACCCCTCCTCTCCCTCCCACAGTGGACCTCACCCCTCCTACCCTTCTCCCAGTGGTTCCTCAAAACCCCCTCACACTCCTGTTGGGGTCCTCACCCCTCTCTTCCCCCTCCCCTCTCTCCCCCAGGTCCTCAACCCATACCTGCGTTCTCGACAGTGAGGCCAAGCTCCTTCATCTCCGCCGCCTCGTCTGCATCTTTAATCTTCCTCTGAGAGTTTTCTTCAGGATCTTGGAGGCAGCGATAGCGCCGCCATAGAGTCCCCTCTGCTCTGAACAGAACAAATGATTATAAATGATGCTTTAATAACAGAAATGATAATATTAAAATAAACAAATCCCATATTTCACGTTCAATGTCAATACCCCCCAAACCCCCCAAAAAAAAAAACCAAAAATTCAGCCCTGAGGTCACATGATCTGAGAAAATTAACTTTTAGGTTTTAAGAACTGACAAAGCACCTCCCAAGCCCTTCCCCTACTCCCCCTCACCTCCGACCAGAGCCCTTCCCCTCCTCCCCTCCCCCTCCTCAACGATCCTGGCCATAGCCTTGTTGTTGTTCAGGATGCCCAGAGAACAGGTCTCTCTCTGGTTCTGTCAGGGTCTGGCAGACTCCTCTCTGTAGCATGTTCTGAGATCCCAGACTTTGGAGTGCTGTGAGGAAGAGGAGAAGCGGGAGAAGACAGGGTAGGTGGGATAAGCATGGTTTTTCAAACCACTGTGCCGGGGCACACTAGCAAGCTGTATGATATTGTCCGGTGTCCGTAAGAATTTTGTCCTACTGTGTCTAAAAATAAATGCAAACCCCGATTGGCGAGTGCTGACTTGTTTTGACTGTGGAGTAATCACGTTGTACTTTTTTCATATCAGTTGGTGGCAGAAGAGAGCAGTACATTGAAACATAAGAATTGATTCAACTAACAAATGTAACTGTAGCGGGGAGCATGTGGCGAGTAGTGAAAGTGAAGTGTTGAGAAATTTTGTAAAAGGAATTATGCCATTTCTGAACAGATACACACTCCGCTCTGACACTCGCCGTCCGGACAATGCGACAATTTGACAACAGCTCATGTAAACGGTACCGAGCGTGGACCATAGTCGCATGGGACCCAGCCCGTCGTAGGGGCGGTGCGAACTGTCCATCGCACAGGGCCTGGCACTAACACAGGCCCTGCCTCCTTCCCTTTTATATTTGTTTTCTTTTTTCCCAAATAAATGCACTAGTTCATCGGTCCCCAAATGACGGATCATGCGGTCCAGGTTATCGGACCCCGAGCCCCCTTTCTCTGGATACCCGTGATTTTTGGTCAAAAGTCAGAATTACAAGTCAAATTTTCACCAAAAGCAATTGTAAACAGGCAGGCGCGAGGGCGCTAGGTGTCGCAGCAGGTTACCCCTTGGGATAAAACATTAGGTACCTGTCAGATAATTTTAGAAGAGGAGGGAGCAGTGAATCCATAGTGTGGGAGTGCTGCTTTTGCCAGAAAGAATTCGTCTGATTGTCCACAACAAAACATAATATAAAAAAGCATAAGCAAACACTGTACCAGCTTCAGTGCGTGCTCCGAGAAGCAATGGAATTTTTGTGGCATTATACTCCTTGTTGTGTTTGTCAGAGTGTGTTAGGAGGAGCAGAAGAGCGTAGGTTGTTGTCAGAGTGTGGGATGAGAGCAGAAAGGACGTATGTATTGTCAGAGTGTGTGGAGGAGCAGAAGGAGCCGTATTTAGTTGTCAGAGTGTGTGAGAGGAGGGAGAAGAAGCGTATGTTGTTGTCAGAGTGTGTGGAAGGAAGGAGGAGAAGGAGTGTAGTGTTGCAGAGTGGGTGGAGGGGAGGCGTAGAAGGAGCGTATGTTGATGTCAAGAGGTGTGGGAGGAGGGAGGAAGCGAAGAGGTATTTGTCAAGTGTGTGGAGGAGGATGAAAGGAGCGGTAAGCTGTATGTCAGAGTGTGTGAGGAGGAGGAAAGTAGGGAGTGTATGTAGTTGTCAGAGTGTGTGGAGAGGAGGAAGAGGAAGGGACTTTGTTTTTTTTTTTCCCCAAAGTTCTCCTTAGATGTTTGCTGCTAATGTTTTGCAATTTGCCTTATACAATGTATGATAAATAGTATAATCCACTATAACATACAATTTTAACACCAAGCACTCAAAAACAGGATTTGATGAATCTCGATATATTTTCCTTCTGGTCTTTTTTATGTAAAATAACTATAGGCTGTGTATGTGTTTTAAACGTTGTCTCCAAATGTTGACAACATAGGTGAGGTCGGTATAATCATTGTATTATCTAAGGTCAGTAATGCTGAGTGGTTTGGAAAGTGTAAAACACCAAGTGATTTGGCTAATTTTCCTTTTGTACAGTGTCTGTGAGATTTCCAGCTCAAATCCTCAACGATGATGACTCCCAAAAACGTTGTTTCTTTTACCCTTTTGAATTTCCCCCGTTTAGTCTTATCAATACACTATTTAAGATTTTTTTCTTTTTAGCATTATCATGTAATCGTTTTTTCTTTGTTTAGAGCAAAGTCATTTGATCCAACCAGATTTTTATTATGACAAGTTCTTTGTTTATTACTTTTTGATAACTCTCCAATATTTTTTCCACAACAAAATAATGCTGTGACACCAGCAAATAAGATTATTTGTAATATAGTTGTCATGTTTACAAGTTTAAAGACATAATTCAATCATTTATAAGTTTGTTTAAAAATGCAACACGTTCTTAAATGCTATGTAATAAGTTACATTTAAAAAACAAAGATTCCCTTTTCCATGGAAAATGTAGCTCGCGAAAATTCAATTTGGTAGACGTCAGCCAAAAGCTACCCCCTCCAGGCCGGTTCGCTTCCCCAGCCTATCGCTCGGCAAACGCCCCCTTCCAATCATCCGTGCCGGACAGGCAGCCGCTTAAAAGCGGAGCAACTCCCACTCTCTGCCTTCTCGAAGCCTCGCAAGCTCCTGAAGCCTTGCAGAGAATCGTCTGGAGGAATCGTTTTCGTCTACTCACGCTACTCGGCGCGTCCCTGGCGTCCTCCGTCTGGCTGCTTGTGGTCTGCTCCTCCTCCGCGTCCCTGCACTGGTCTGCTCCTCCTCCGCGTCCCTGCACTGCTGTGGTTCGCATATCCCCACTGCTTTCCTCCTCTGCGGGCTCTTTCTGCGGGCTGCTCCGCGGGGCCCTCCGCGGGTTTATGTGCGGCTCGTTCCTTGTGGTCTGCTGCCGCACGCAGAGGTCTGGCGGTGCCGTGCGTGTCCCTGCCTCGATTGGCGGTGCCGCGTTGTCCCGTTGCTTTTCCCAAGTCTCCTGGCATGTGAGTACAGTGTGTGTGCCGACCGCGGACAGATTAATCCCGGAGTTCTGGGCTGCAGGCGGCTGGTTTTTGCCCTACGCACTTGACTGCAGGCGCCAGTTTTTTCGCCCCGAGCTTGGTCTGCAGGCTCCGTTTCACATGTGTTTGAGCTAACTGAGGGGCAATGCATATTAAATGGCATCAATCTCTATCGTCTGAGGGATATACGAGGAGCTATGTGCATTAATTCAGATCATGTTCTGCCACTTGCAGTAAAACCATGCATAAATAGCTAGGTCGCTGGTATTAAATTAGGTAACTAACTGCAGTGTTGCATTTTTGAAAGTGCAGCAGGAAGAAAAAGGGCCGAACGTGAATCTGCAATGGGTGGAAATAGTGTTGGAGCTATGAACGCATGGATCAGTGGTCGTTCATGCGCATCTGCCATAACCAAAGCAGAAGATGGCTCCAGGGGACGTCTGTTATTCGCATGGGAATGTTTCGGATTCGGGTTGATTTATTCCCTCAGGCTCTTAAACAACCGTGGGTTGGTTCTCTGACCGCCGCTGCTGCCGGTCCCCGCTGCCGTTCCTACTGATGCCTGATCCCGCCGCTGCTGTTCCTGCTGCCGCTCCTGCTGCTGCCTGTTCCTGCTGCCGCTCCTGCTGCTGTCTGTCCCTGCTGCTGCTCCTGCTGCTCCTACTACTACATGTGCCGCTGCCGTTCCGCAGGCTCCCAGGCTGCACCCGTCTCTGTGGCTCGGCTCTTTCAGACACGTACGTAACCTGGCTCACGGAGACAAGCGGCGCACGCCGGCGTGACACGTCTGTCTGTTCGTATGAATCGCTTCGTGGTGCTGCTGCTCCTGCTAGTGCTGTTTCTGCTGCTTCATACTGTTGCCGCTGCTGCTGCTACTGCTGCCGCTGCTGCTTCATACTGCTACTACTGCCGTGCTGCTGCTGCTTCATGTACTTCGTCATCTCTCTTCACTTCGCTTCTCTTACTGAAACACTAAACAGCTACAACATATTCTACTGCCGTGGCTTTGATACAGGGTTTTGCCGTTATTATCTACGGATGCAGCAGCTGCTGCTGCCGCGGCTGATACAGGTCGTTGCCGTTATTATCTGAGGTTACTGCCGCTGCTGCTACTGCTACTGCTACTGCTGCAACCCACTCTCTCAGAAGCTTATCCTGCTTCTAATGGATGCAGCCCGGCCGAGTATGCCGCGCGGCACTGGACTCGCACCTATGCTCCCAGGGTCACTTCGGCGGTCGTGCTTCATCTCTCTACTTAATCTTCTGATTCTATCAGATGCAGCTGGCCGAGTAGCTGCGCTGAGCCGTCAATTGGACTCCTAATCAAAGGCATCCATACCGTGTTCTTCACTCTTCTGATCGCAGGCTCCCCATCATGCTGCCCATCCTGCAGCGGCACTGAACTCCGGCTCATCTTCCAAGTACATGTCTGCCCTCCTCGCAGCATCTTCCTGCTCGCCTTCCATGGCTTCTCTGCATAAGCGTTCACTACTGCACACTCAACCTTCGTGCGGTCCGAGACACGGCTTTTCCCGACCATCCTACTATCCTGATTATCTACTCTCCAACCCAAGATTCTAAGCGTAAGGGCGCCTGCAACTTCATGGCCCTCTCCGATATGTCTCTGCCCCTCCAGGTCTCGGCTTCTACACGGACGTGCCCCTTCCGTGGGTTTTGGGGGGTTTATTTCCAGGACCATCGCGGCCTCGCTGGGGCTCCCCCACACCTCTCTGCAACAGCTGGGGCGCCGGTCCTCTGCGGCTTTCTCCGCCTACATCAGGCCAGACGCGTCCGCTATCCTGCCTGCACAACGTCAACTGGCTTCCTCGTAAGCTCCCAG